GAGCACTGTCTGAGTACATTCCTTTATTGCTTTGTTTCTCCTATTTTCTCCTCCTCCTTTTCCTCTTTTTCCTCCTTCTCCTCTTCTATGTGTTTTTGTGCAGGTACACTGGTCATGTGTGCGTGTGTGTGTGTGTGTGTGTGTGTGTGTGTGTGTGTGTAAACTGAGGTCGATGGGTATTTTCCTTTATTGCCTTCCACCTTATGTTGAGACTGGAGTTCTCTGTCTGATTTGGCAAGACTAGCTGGCTAGTGAGCTCCAGGGCTCACCCCTTGTTGTCCCCAACTGTTAAATTTATTATTATTTTATTTTATTTTATTTTTATTATTTTATGTATGAGTGTATTGCCTGCATGTAAGTAAGTGTGTCCATGTGGTGCAGTGCCCATGGAGGTCAGAAGAAGGCATTGAATCCCCTGGAACTGGAGTTACAGACATTGTTAACTGCCATGTGGGTGCTGTTGGAATCGAACCTGAGTCCTCTACAAAAACAGCCAGTGCTCTTGACCACTGAACCATTTCTCCAGCCCCTCCACTTCATTTTTTATTTTTAAAAATATTTTACTTATTATTTTTATTTTATGTGCATGAGTGTATTGCCTGTATATTAGTGCACCTGTGTTGTGCAATGCCCACAGAGGTCAGAAGAGGGTGTTGGATCCCCTGGAACTGGAGTTTCGTACGTTTTTGGCCACCATGTGGGTGCTGAGAACAGAACCCTAGTCATCTGCAAGAGCAGCCAGTGCTCTTAACTGCTGATCCATCTCTCCAACACCCCACTTTTTAAAAATCTCCATATGTGTGTTTGTGTGTATGACGTATGTGTATATATGTTCATGTGTGTGAGTACCAGTGCACATATGCCATGGTACATATGTAGGTATTGGAAGGCAACTTCTGATGTTGGTTCTCACCTCATACCTTGTTTGAGACAGGGTCTCTTGTTCACTGCTGAAAACACTAGGCTAGGTTTCCCTTGAGCTTGGGGAGGGGTTCGCCTATCTCTACTACTAATCTTGTGTGGGACTACTGGGATTTCAGATGTGTTACTGCATCTAGCTTTATGTGTTGGGTTCTGGAGCTCAGTAACTCATGTCCTCATGTTGCACAGCAAGCACTTTACCCATTGGACCATCTCCCCTGCATTCTACTTCCATTCTTAAGAGGGTCTCTCACTGAACCTGAAGCTGGTCTTCAAGCCCCTGGATCCTGTTTTTGTCTCTCTAGTGCTGGAATTACCAGAGTGAGCTACTGCAGCAGCTTTTTGCCTGGATGTGGGCATCCAGCTCAGGTCTTCGCGCTTGGATAGCAAGCCCCTACTGACTGGGCCATCTCCCTGGCTCTTGTTCTAGGTCTCTTGATTTTTATGTTTTCTTTTTGGATGGTGTTTTGAGACAGGGTCTTATGCAGCCCAGTCTGTCTTGAACTGTGTATCTAAGGATGACTTTGAACTCCTGATCCTCCTGCTTCTAGCTCTCAAGTGCTGGAATTACAGCCATGTTCTACCACACCCAGCTTTTGACTTTCCAAATGAATTTTAGCATCATCTTGTAGACTTTGTGCAGGAAAGTCAGCTGATAGGGATTGCACTGAATCTTCAGATTTATTTGAGGAGTGTTCCCTCAAAGAGTTAACAATATTAGCTCCTTCAATCCATGGACATGAGCCTCTTTCCATTTATTTATGGTTTCTTTAGTTTCTTAAACTTTTTTTTTTTTATATAGTTTTCCAAGGTTTTTTTTGGTCTTTTTTTTGAGACAGGCTCTCCCTGTAGTCCCAGCTGTCCGGGAACTCACTATGTAGACCAGGCTGGCCTTGAACTCACAGAGATCTGCCTGCGTCTGCCTCCCAAGTGTGACACCACGCCCGGCTGTTTAAGGTTTGAATTCTTTTGTTAAATTCATCTTCTCTGTGTGTGTGTATGACAAGGTCTCACGGCTACATAATTGTGATCCTCCTGCCTCTGCTTCCCAAATCTGGAATTACAGGTGTATACCATTACACCTGGCAAACTGTGTGTGTGTGTGTGTGTGTGTGTGTCTAGGTGTATGTGTTTGTGGATGAGTGTGCACATGTGGTGTGTGTGGTTGCCTGAGGACGACCTCCGGTATCAGTCCTCGGGAACTATCAACCTTGCTTTAATATTTTTTTTCAGGTCTGGAGAGCTGGCTCAGTGGTTAAGAGAACTGACTGTTGTTGCAGAGGACCTGAGTTTGATTCACAGCACCCACATGGCAGTTAACAACCACCTGTAACTCCAGTTCTGGGGAATTCAACACCATCTTCTGACCGCAGGCACTGCATGATATGGTTGTACTTACATACATGCAGGCAATGTACTTACACAAAGAAAATTTAAATATAAAATAAAATTAATTTTTTCTTTTTATCATTTATTTTTATTTTACACATATGTGTGTTTTGTCTGTCTGTATGTAAGTGTACCCATGCATGATTGCCCATGGAGGCCAGAAGAGGGTCAGATCCCCTGGAACTGATATCATGGACAGATGTTAGCTTCTGTGTGTATGCTGGGAGCCAAACCCGGGTCCTCTGTAAGAGCAGTCAGTGCTTCTAACTTCTGAGCCATCTCTCCATCCCCCTCCTTTTTGAGACAGGATATCTCACCACTTAGGTTAGACTAGCTGGTAAGCAAGACCCAGGGATCTGCCTGTCTTTACCTCCCCAGCACAGGATTACAAGTACAGCATACAACACTTAACTTTTTTACCTTGGTTCTGGGCATCAAACTCAAGTGTTTACACTTATGTGACAAGCACTCTACTGACTGAGCTATCTTTGCAGCCTTGGAAAACTTATTATGTTTTATTTTTGAGACAGCATTTCCCTGTAGCCCCAGCTGGCCTGGAACTCCCTGTAGACCAGGCTGGCCTTGAATTCACAGGAATCTGCCTGCCTCTGCCTCCCTAGTACTGAGATTAAAGGCATGTGTTATCATGCCCAACCAGCAAATTTATTCTTAAGTAATTATTTTTAATTGTAACATAAATGGAATTTTCTTACCTTTATTTTGGCTTATACCTTGCTACTAGGTAGAAACATGCACTTTTACAATCAGCTAGTCTTACAATCCAGGGATAGAACATTTGCTAGCACATGCAACCCTGGATTTGATTCCAAATACAGGAAAACAAACTTCTGTACCCCAAATCAATGTCAAAATAGAATTGATTTTTGTACATTGGTTTTGTGCCCTATGAACTTGCTAAATTCTTATTAGTTCTATTAGATTTTCAATGACTTCCTTAGAGTTGTCTGTATATGAGATCAGGTCATCTGCAAACAGAGATGGTTTTACTTTGTTCTTCCCAGATGGGGTTTTAAAACTTCCTTTTCTTGTCTAGTTGCCCTGACTAGTATCACTAATACGGTACTGAGGCTAAGAGGTGACAACAACCATTCTTATTTGTGATCTTTAGAACAGGGCAGGAAGCATTCCATCTTTCACCATTAAATACAAGGTTAGCTGTGGGATCTTTGAAAAATCTTCCTCTCCGTTCGTTTGTTTGTAGTGCTAGAGTTGGAGCCGAGGACCTCACGTATGCTAAGCATGCACTGTGCCCCTGAACTATATCTCTAGCCCCTCGCTGTTGGGTTTTTGTAGGTACTGTTTACCAGGCTGAGGAAGCTTCTTTTTTTCCCCAGTTATGTTGAGTGTTTTAATATTTTTAGTTTTTTATCATGAAGCACTGTTGGATTTTGTCAAATGTTTTTCTGTAGCTCTTGAGATGATTGTGTTTTTTGTCCTTCTTTTAATATGATATATTGCACTAATGAAGTCTCAGATGCCACTTAGATTTTTTTGCCTGTTAATTCAACTTCCCATTTTCTTGTTCTTTAGCATTCAAAGCACCCTGGAGGAACCCATTAACTGACATCTGCAGTAGATGCAACACAGGGCTTAGATGTTGATGGTGATTCTTTATGAAATTTTCCATCTCCAGGGCTTTGTATCTCATCAAAAGTTCCAGTGATGGTTAGCTAGGATTTTTTGTTCAGTATTATTGAATAATGTGAATGTAAAACAAGTTTTTTTTTAGATGTACTTATGTAGCACAACTATATAAATACATAACATTATTTTGATAGTATATGTGATAGCATTTCATATTGTAGGTACATGGGGGGTCAGAAAATGTTAGCTATAATATTTGTATGCTTTTTAGGGATGATAAACATATTAGGCAGAGCAGGCCGTGTAGCTCGTATTTCTGGCAATTGTAATTACTATCAATGTATTTTGTCTTTGAAAATTTGTATTCCCCCAAATTTCTTCCTTCAACATAACGAGAGTTGCTTCACATTATGTATTTCCACCATGCTCCTGCTTTGTAATGTATGTTCATGTTAATTGCAGTTTCCTTCGCTTGAACACATCTTTCTTTTCCATGTGGGCTCCTTTGGTTGCGTTGTCATCTTCATTGATGAGGCATCTGCTAATTAATGTTCCTCCTTTGAGTGTCTGCCCTTTTCCTTCTTGATTCCGCGGTTCAGCTCTATTTTTCATTTCAGCTGCAATTACTGGTTAATTCTTTTCTATCCCTTATTGGTCTGTGACCTTCTGTGACTTATTTGTAATATTTATATCTTTATGGAATTGACAACCCATCCCCTGCCATCAGTGATAATTAAGTATGTAGGCATTCCTTTTAAAAAATGGTTTAGGAAATAGTTGTTTCTTGTGGTTAATACATGTAATAGCTTTCGAAGCTTATAGCAAGGTTTTTGGTTTTTAGAACATGTCATTTGTAAGGATACATGAATTTATCATTATTCTTTATTATGGTGAGATATTCCTAATATGAAATTCAGCATCTTGACTATTATCAAGTACATAGTTCTTTAAGTACATTAAATATATTCACATTGTTTCACAGCTATACAAACTTGAAAGAGAAAATATTCATTTTCTAATCCTTCAGTTGTTCTTTTTTCCTTACTTCTTTTCTGTTGACAGCCTTTTCTCTCCTTTTCTTTTAGACATTGAAGATTTCCTGGCAGAAGGTTTGAGGAATGAGAACCTCAGTCCTGGTGCAAGAGACCAGAGGGACCACATTCTCCGGGGCTTTCAGCAAATCAAGTCCAGGTTTGTATAAGCCAGTTTCACTATACTTTTTCCTAAGCTTCTTAAAACAGTTAATAGTCAAAAAAATCTACTTAACAGAGTATAAGATAGCAAAATTAACATACACATATCACAGGTCTTTATACTGGGTAGAAATTTATGAATTGCTGAGTTGATTTAGAGGTCAGTGAGCATACTGCAGTTTACCAACATAAAATGTTTGATAATTAAATATCTTAAAATAAGGAGTCTAGTTTTAGCTTTGGATTTTATGCTAGCCTTTAATTAAACACTTTTGCATTTAACAACAGCAAAATAATAATGGTGAAATCTAGACATCTATGTTTCTTCAGATTACTGAGAAGGCATTAGTGTAGGATAATTTTCATTATTTTTTAATACCAGTGTTATTTTTGTCTCTAGTAGAAAACTTAAGATCAATCCTGGTTAGTTGATTCTTTGACCATATTGGAATTCTTTACTCCCAGACTGGATGGGAATATTATGTTCATAAAGTTTTTTTTTTTTTGCCTTTTTGAGACAGGGTCTCCCTGTAGCCCCAGCTGTCCTGGAACTCACTATGTAGACCAGGCTGGCCTTGAACTCACAGAGATCCACCTGCCTCTGCCTCCCGAGTGCTGGGATTAAAGGCGTGCGCCACCATGCCTGGCCATAAAGTTTTTAAAATAAGAGACTATGATCTAATTTGTACATCTTAAAACATGAGCATCCGATAGATGCTCAGTGCATTTATTTCCTTTGGGGGAAGAAGAAATAAAAAATTTCCTGTACAATGTATTTCCTGATCAGCTCTTCTTGAAAGGTGGTAACTGAATGAGAGTTGGGGATGATGGCATGCTACTTTGTCCTGTTCCAGCTGAGTGATGGTGTGATTAGCATCCTTGACCTGAGTACTCTGGGAGAGCGGAGAGTGTCTGCAGGGTTGTGGCTGGGATTTAGTTTGCATGGCTGATCATTCTTAGCTTCTACTTTAAAAACCTCAGAAGCTTCTTAGAAGTAGAGAATCCCATCCTTTGAAAGGACACAGCCGGAATCTATTCCCTCCAGGAATGTGAAAGAAGCTTGCAAGATGCCCTGCTGGATCTTAATCGATCTTTCCCGCTGGCTAATTAAGCATCGCTTTTACTCAGCAACTGGGGACTGTGTAATTATCAGCCTGGGTTGCCCTGAATAATTGAAACAAACAGAATGCTGAAGATGGAAACTTTTTTATATTTGTAAAAGTGGAAATATCAGCTGGGCGTGGTGGTGCATGCCTTTAATCCCAGCACTCGGGAGGAAGAGGCAGGCGGAGCTCTGTGAGTTCGAGGCCAGCCTGTCTACATAGTGAGTTCCAGGACAGCTGGGGCTACAAGGAGACCCTGTCTCAAAAAGACCAAAAAAAAAAAAAAAAAAAAAAAAAAAAAAAAAAAAAAAAAGTGGAAATATCTAATTTTCAGTAGACTATAAGAGTGTTGAAATCAAACATAGGTTACATCATTAGTAGATAAGTTTAGACTTAGTAATGCCCATGGAGACTTAGTTAAAAACCTATGGATTTTTTTCCCACAAGTTTGCCTTTGTACTATAAGAGTACCATAAGGATAGTACGAAGAATAAAGGTGGGATTTTAAATTATATTACAGGGAGGGGGAGGTCTTTATATATAATGTGTATAGTGGTTCTGTTGGTATAAAAGATATGTTAAGGAAAGCAAGTGCAACTTTGATGATTTGTATAGATAAATATACATATATTTCCATATTTGTATTACAGCATTAGGGAAGATCTAAATCTCAACAGTAAATGGGCAGTAGAAGGCAAATTTGTGACACTCTCCTGTGAATTTTGTATTCTTAATCTTTTGAATTGGCACACACATGTACACACACGAACACACAGAAGCTGCATCTCTCATGGGATAGGGGAGGCTTCCAAAGAATGTTCCGCATGGTTTGTGGGGCAGACACTCCAGAATAATCAGCAGGAGCTTCAGGAAACATCTGTATTGTTAATGGGAGCTTTCTGTTCATTGATTTGTTCCAAGAAAGACGACACTTTATTTAGAACTTCATAATTATCCGATCACTGAGGAAACAAAGAGCCAGAAATTAGATACTGCACAAGAAAACAGAGAAAAGAAGCTTTTTTTTTTCTAGCAAGCTGTTTGAGAGTGCCTCCTGCTCCCCTTTAATCATGCCACTGCTGATGGAACCCTTGTTTTACTCGATCCTCTTCCGTCATGTTGCCTCTTTGTCCCATTTGTGGCTGGTCAATTTTGTATACTTACATGCATTGATACCAGTTGGTTTCAAAGTATTTCAAAGTACTGGCCACATTTACTTGCATAGAATGGCAGTTGTATCTACCCCCAAAAGTAAGATGTAAAAAGAAATTTAGAAGTCACCAAATCTGAGAGTTAATGGTATTTGAGAAATGACTGAGCACAGAAAGATAATTATTGAAGGTCACTTCAAATGTTTTCTCTTTAGTCAGAGCAATGCAATAATACCTTAATGAGTTGGTGTGTGTGTGTGTGTGTGTGTGTGTGTGTGTGTGTGTGTGTAAAACTATAATTTGGTACTAATTTGAAAGGCAAGAAAGAAATCTCTAGTTTAGAAATAGAATTTACATGTATTCCTACTCTATTGTTCCCTTGTTTCAGTTTCTTTAATTCTTTTAAAAAATATTTTGTTATTTATTTTATGTGTATGAGTGTATTGCATGCATGTATTTAAGTGTACCCATGTTGTGCAGTCCCCATGGAGGTCAGAAGAGGGTGTTGGGTCCCCCTGGAACCGGAGTTAGGGACAGTTGTTAGCCACAATGTGGGTGCTCTTAACTGCTGAGTCAACTCTCCAGCCCCCCTTTAATTCTTTTTTTTAAGATTTCCATTGAATTTTTGCGATTTTCATACAATATAATTTGATGGTATTTAGAGCCCCTCCCCTATCCACACCGCCCCTTACTGCCTGCCCCCCACCTAATTTAATGTTCTGAATTATATATAATACAGCCTACAGAGGCTGATTGTGTCCCCAAATGTCCTTCTGTGTGGTCCATCCACTGGAGTCTGATTAACCTACCAAGAGTCCCATCCCTGTGAGACACTGTCTCTCCCCCTTCCAGTAGCCATCAGTTGCCAGAAGTTTCATAGGGTGGCTTGTGGTTTCTTACCCACTTCCCTTTCTACACTGGGATTTTGTCTGGTTTGAGCTTGCATGGGACTTGTGCATGCTGTCACCATTGCTGTGAGTTCATATATGTAACTGGATTCCTTTGACTCTTCCTTCAATGCTGCACTACTGGAGAATGTGTACGGTAAAGAGAAGTAAAAATGGCCTTTCCTGTTCTTGGCGAACTCTAGGGGCTTTGGCCTATTTTTTTTTATGGCTGACTCAGAATTCAGTGGTATTTGCCATCGTTGTGGACTTGCTGTACATTGAAGCATCTGCCTCCATCACCACTGGTGGGTGGAGTGTGCATCCTTTACCACGTTTCTGTTGTCCAGGGTGCCTGACCACTGAAAATGATAGTTGCCCCCATGTGCTGGTCTGTATTTCTATACCGGTACCCTCACTCTTCATCCTCTTAAAAAAGCTTAAAAAAAAAACAACAAATCGTTTCTGTATCCACAGCCACATTTATTGTGTTTGAAAGGATAATGTTCTCCATATAAGACAAAACAAAAATGGTAATTTCTGTGATTCCCGGCACAGGAAGCCTTGCTGTGGGATTTGATGTCCTGAGCGGTGCTTTTCCTTACTGTTCTTCAAACTGTGTCCTCACTTCAGCCCTCTTCTAAAGACTAACAGCCTTCACTTCCAAGCTTCTGTTGCACTCTTTGAGATGTGCTTAGGATAAAAGCCGCCAAAGGCTCCGCCTTGCTTTATGGTGGTAGTCATTGCAGGATTAGCTCCAGATGTTAGACACCTGGAATGAAACAGACGTGATCTACGCTCAGAAACCTGATGATGTCCTTACACATTTGGAGAAACAGTAGGACTTTTCTTCAGCGTTTGATCCAGTGGAAGCCATCTGACAGCAATAATACATCGAGAGTGAGGGAAGGGATGGAGAAAAAGAATATTTCTATTACTGAAGTAGAGATAAATCCTCTCTTGATGGCTCTTTTTGGAACAACTACTCATGTATGCTCACTGTTGGAAGGGAAGGCCAGAGCCAATGGAAACAAACATGGTATATTATTTCCTTCTGTGAGACTAAAGGAGTTCCAAAAAGAGACAAGTAGATTTGTAGGATGTTTAAATGGAAAAAGAGAAATAACTGTATAACAGGTTTATGGCTTAAAGTCCACAAAACCCAAAGCATTTAAAATATAGACTTAAAAAAATACCAGGAAAGTGTCATTGTGGGTGGTCAGCCTGTTGCTCTGCCGGAAACAAGATACAGTACTAGCAAACATCTCATAAAAAAAATCCTGACTTTATTTGGGAATTTTAGATTTTATTGTCTGCTTAACATGGATTTAGTTTTATAATTAGGTTAAGTCTAAGAATATATATAATTCTGATGTCTTTGTATCATAGGAGGAAACACAAGTTAGTCTGGTTAAACTCTTGAGAGCAAGCAAGAGTTTAAAAATAGTATACCATAATTATTATTAGCATTAATTACAAAGTTTTAATTTTTCTTAAGTGTTGGTCATTGAGCTTATAAACTCTTCAGACAAAACACATTCAAATGAAGGGTGATTTTCAAGGAAACGAATGTTTAATGTGCTATTGGTACATGTATGTTGTGATAACTTCAAAGATTTGCTCATAACCTCTGTTCTTTAAATCTGTCATTTATCCTGGAGTTTTAGTGCCAGTGAAGCAAAAACAAGGTGAAACTTGTGTGATCCATTTAAGTTTAAACCTCTGAAAGGCTTAAAAATCATAAAACAATTTGAACACATCTTGAAAATCTGTTTCTTAGCTGGACATGATGGTTTGCACCTACAGTCCCAGCACTGGGAAGCTGAAGCACAGGGTTGTCATGAGTTTGGGGCCAACTTG